CTAATTGATAGTCTGAAGATCTAATTGATGGTCTGAAGATCTAATTGATGGTCTGAAGATCTAATTGATGGTCTGAAGATCTAATTGATGGTCTGAAGATCTAATTGATGGTCTGAAGGTCTAATTGATGGTCTGAAGGTTTGAAGGTCTGAAGGTTTGAAGGTCTGATTGATGGTTTAAAGGTCTAACTGAAGGTCTAACCAGTCAGACGTCAGAACTTTAGTAAGAGTTGGGGTCTCTCAGAGATCTTTACTCCTTTTTATCAGAGAAAATGTTTTGTTCAGCTGACAGAACGTCCCTAACAATGTGAGGAGTCAGACCCACATGTCCTGGTCTGACCTTGTGTCCAGGTGTCCTGGTATGACCTAGAGTCCAGGTGTCTTGGTGTGACCTCAGACCTAAAAGACAGAACTTTGTTGTAAACTATTTGTCAGCAGGTCTTTCAGGAAGTAGGTGGTCTGAGTTTCTGCCTGGGTAGAAATGTTCATCAAAGCTCTGCAGACTAATTGGACCATTAAGATTTTGTTTTTCCTCATTCTTCACCTCCTCCCTCGCCGCTCCCTCCATCTCTCTTCATCTTCTAATGGAAGTCTGCCCGGCCCCTCTCGATCTCTGGACACGCCTCACGTTTCTCTCAGCTTTACGGCTCTCAGGTCCAGCTGAGCAGCGCTGCCAGCTGTTGGATCAGAAGGACAAATGAGTCTGTAGATCCTGGCAGGCTGAAGAAGGACCAGCTCAGAGGTCAGGGGTCAGAGGGGGGTCTGATTAGTCACATGTTCCAGACTCACATCCAGGGTTCTGTTCCGGATCAGGAGCAGTCCTGGCTCTGGGGCTATGAAAACCCACAGACCTGTTGTGAGACCCAGACCGGAGGTTTTTACCTGTGCTTTCATTCAAACAGTAATCAGACTGAGAGCTGGAGCTTTCTATCACTTCATCATCCTCTGTTCTCCTTCATCCCCCACTCCTCTTTCATCTTCTCCTCTCTTTCACCTTCCCTCCCTCTGCTGACTCAGCTCCACGGCTGATCGCTATAAAGTGCTCCATCAGCTCGACCCGCAGCATCTTTCTGTGAGGAGGGGGAGGGGGAGGGGGGCACTCCTCCTCCAGCATCAGTAATACTGCAGTACTGTCTGTAATACTGCAGTACTGTCTGTAATACTGCTGTACACCCAGTAATACTGCAGTACTGTCTGTAATACTGCAGTACTGTCTGTAATACTGCAGTACTGTCTGTAATACTGCAGTACTGTCTGTAATACTGCAGTACACCCAGTAATACTGCAGTACACCCAGTAATACTGCAGTACTGTCTGTAATACTGCAGTACTGTCTGTAATACTGCAGTACTGTCTGTAATACTGCAGTACTGTCTGTAATACTGCAGTACTGTCTGTAATACTGCAGGACTGTCTGTAATACTGCAGTACTGTCTGTAATACTGCAGTACTGTCTGTAATACTGCTGTACACCCAGTAATACTGCAGTACTGTCTGTAATACTGCTGTACACCCAGTAATACTGCAGTACTGTCTGTAATACTGCTGTAC